GAGAATGGAAAATATATGTGCCTCAACATCTCTGTCCTTCCGGAGCTTCCAAGGCTGTTGTAGGACTCCTTCAGAAGCCTAGCTCTGTGTATGTATGTGAATGTGTGCCTTTCTGTAAGGACCTAAATGAGAAACTTATTTTTTTACTTTGTAGAATAATACTTGGTAGAGGTGCTATTTTGCCCCCTTGCCTACTGGCAAGGTCTGGGGGTGTCTTCCTTTAGGTGGGACTGGATAGGTGTGCACATAGCCACTTCCCTGCTGCTCACCTCGGTGGTTTATTGGAGAAAATAACAAGATGCCCACAACTTCTTGGATTCATCCACATCACCAAGCACAAACATGGCATCCCCTTTCTCATCCTCCTCTCCCCATCCCAGATTTATGGAAGTTATTGGTGGTTGGGCCAAAGATAACTCAGTTGCATTCCAAGATGCCAGCTTTTAGGCAGCATCTGCCTTTTTGCCCTCTGTGGGGTGCTATGCAATGGGATCACAGTAACAGTTTGATCATCTCAGTGATTGATGTACAATGTATTTGTATTTTTGTGTTTTTTTAAAATTTTACTAGACTAGTATGAAGTTGTTTTGTGTTTTTTATACCCATGCGCGTGCAAGCACACACACACACATACATATGGTAAAAATGAGGAGATTGTTTTCTAGGAATTCTGGGTATCCAGACCTTTTTTGCAGCAAAAAAGAGGAAAGGGTGGGTAGGAAGGCTTGTGTATTTGGGAAGGGGCCATGGCTCAGTGGCAGAGCATCTGCTTGGCATGCAGAAGGTCCCAGGTTCAATCCTCAGCATCTCCAGTTAAAAGGGACCAGGCAGTAAATGATATGGAAGACTTCTGCCTGAGATGCCGGAGAGCCACTGCTAATCTGTGTACACAATACTGACCTTGACCAGTGGTCTAACTCTATGTAAGGCAGCTTGATGTATGACCATGTATATTGATGTGGCAATGGGATGCTGGACTGCTTAAAACTCATCAGCTGATAGTAATGGAGAGGAGTAGGCAGGTGAAATAGCCCCATGAATTCTATAATAATCTAAGGAGCTGCCTTAATCCGAGTCAGTCCGGTGGTTAATCTAACACAATATTAGTTGGGGAAAAGCCATGGAAGATTGACAAAGCAGGTGGTGACAATGGAGATGTAGTCCCACCTGTCTTCAGAGAAGTGCCCCAGCCCCGTTGCTATGGGGGAGAGAGCTCTTGTGAGATAGGGAAGTCATGCAGGGTCTGCAAAGGAAGCAGGAAATGGGTGTTGGCCAGATGGCAGCATTGACATCCCTGGTTCCCAAACTTCTCACTCACTGTACTTTTCAGGACCTACTTGTAAAGGTATTGTGCTTCTTAGGGAACACTTGCAAAGTAACTGTCTGACAGTTAACACTAAATGCATTTATCACTTATAAGTACATCAATCATTTGTGGCACATTGGCAGCTTAAAAGAAGGGGGGTGGGGAGAGACTATTTTGAACATTACAGAGAGGCAAACCCAAGCTTGCTGTGAAACATCCTGGAGTCTGCCTTCTGAGGTCACCTGGTTCCTTCTCTGTCTTGGCCTTGTGACCCACCTGCAAGAAAGTCATGATCCACATTGTGAGAAACGCTGATCTCACTGCGAGAGGCAACCGTGCAAGGGAGAACTCCTCTGGATGCTGGTGAGCTCCCTCCCTCCCTGTGGTCTGAGACAGGAGCAAGAGCTCCAAGCCAAGAGCCCTGCCCACCTGCTGGGTTCTTCTGCAGTGCCTTTGAACCAAGGTGTCCTGTAGGGGTCTATTCAAGCCTCTTCCCATTCTCAGCCCCAGGGTATATCTGTTACCAGGTCGCAGCATTCAGATTTCAGGAGGAGGAGCGAATGTTTGAATGCTCCTCTGCATAAAACGCTTCCCACACACTAAACCTAGAATATCTGTAGACAGGCTGGCCCGAAATCTGCTCTCTGGGGAGGGGGGGGGGGGATCACTGGAACATTCCTTTGCCAGAAGTCTGGAAAGTATTACATGGGGCTTCTTCAATACAAGGCCTTGACACTAAAAGAGAGGGAGATGGCCAGGGTGAACTGTGCTCCCTCACGGGGCCTGTCACTTTGACTGGCACCAGCTCTGCCTCCCCTCCCTCCCTCCCCCTCTTTGTGCTTTGGATGTTCAAACCCTGTGAGGGGAGTGCTCTCCTGATCTCCCAGTGCAGCTTGCCCTGCTTCTAAGACATCATTTGAGCCCCCGCCCTGCCCTTGGAGTCGATGGAGCTTTGTGCAAGTAAGACCAGGAGGACGGAGGAACTCTTGAGTTCTCTAGCACACCCTGAGAGCACAGCCCGTTCCCAGCTCTGTAAGCAAGTGGCGGCATTGTTGCCCTCCTCACCCTTCATGTCTTTCAGGGAGTGATGGGATGGCTGAAGTAAGCTGGAAGTTAGTGCCAGGTCTGGCGGTCAGGTTGGTTCCGGGGCTGCCTGCAATACTTTGGTGCCCTCTGCTGACCACATTTTTTGTGGCGTTACCTTGGAAATCAGCCCATTGTGACCTGCTTCCCCTACAGCAGGTGTGGTACCAGCCGCGTGGCGGTTGCCTCTCCCCCTGCTTGTGTCTCCACGCTGTCTCCGCCACTTACGCCACGGGCCTCTGCCTCTCGCTGCTTTCCTGCCGCCCACCCAGTATTTGAGTAATCCAGTAACACAGACTCACATTTGCCAAACCAGGAGTTAATTGTGTTGGCTTGCTCACCTTTGCTGAGCACAGTGGATGATAGCAGGATATCTAGGAACATCTTTTCTAATGTGTTGTGTGATACACAATTTCCAGACCAGTAATTTTATTCAATTTTATTTTTTAAAGTTTATATAATTTAGAGTGTTTTAGAAACACACAAATGTCAAAAAAACTGATTGTGATACAATGTTCAGCAAAGTCGGGGGGCTCCCCCACACGCTGGCTAGCATACCACGTTCTGCCTGCAGGCAGACTGGAGGACTGCTTTGGAGGGTGCTGCCCCCGACCGGCTGTGGGTGCCGTGGCCAGCAAAAGAAGTGGAATCATTGCCCCCCACCCCCACCCCCGCTTCTAATCATCTAGTTGTAATTTTCTTCCACAGACCGAATGTTTAGCCAGTAAGGATGCCTACTAAAGAGATCTATGCCAGGCCAAAAGATAATTTAAGACTGGCCCATGCCCAGCTTATTGCTTCATGCCTGATACATGCGTGTACGTCAGAAATTAGGGCCATTAGCAAACAGGGCATGTTTGGGATTGTCCAGCCCAGCTGACGTCTGTTGGGGTTTGCTTTGCAGGAGTTTTAGGAAGGAGGGGTGGTTCTTTATTGAGTACCTTGACAGGCCAGAAAGCATGCTGGGTAAACTGGCCCCAGAGGCTTGTGTATGAGGGGCTTGGCAGGTTGAACGGGTGTCTCCTTTTTACCTGGGAGCCTGTTGTAGGTTCCAGGAGCAGCCCCGGCCTCATATCCTTTAGGCATCCTATGGCTGGCTAGAAGAAAGCGAGGGCTGGGTTAGCTCTGGGGCTTTTTGGTCATTTACTCCGTCCCCGGGGCTTCGTTTCACATTGAGAAGTGGAGCTCAATCTCTGATTCTGCCCAGAGCCCCAAGGCCACGGTATGAAGTTACGGGGTTATTTTAACTGAAATACAGCTGTTGAAGCAGCAGTCGAGAGGGGGAGAGCAGCAGGGGAGGCTGCCTGGGTTCCCCATTCCTGCCACTTGTGTGCTCAAAATCACATCCTCTTCCTAGCTATTTTCTCCCCATGGAAGGAAAAGCAGCCCAGAGGGCAAAGACTCAGCAGCCTCTCCGGCTTTCTACGGCAGCCCTTGGAGGCTGCTATTCCGCTAATAAAGGTCCAGATCTTTGGAAAGAAAAAAACCAAAGCCCCATGCCATTGTTTACCATGCTCTCCCCCCCCCCCCCAGGGTATTGAATAACTAAATGTATCCCAGATGAGAAGGTCTTTGCACTGGGCCGGCGAAGCACCTTCAGGCAATCTTTGATAGGAAGCTGGCTGAGTTTGCCAATCTTTGCAAGCTTGTAGCTTTAATTAGGTCCAGTGTGTGCCTCTTAGGCAGAAGGGGAGGTCATAGGCCCAGCTGGAGAGGAAACTTTTTTTTAAACAAAAAGCTAGCGCAGCAAAGAGGCTGGTTTGCTATAGGCAGACACAGTCCTGGGTGAGCAGGGGCAAGGAGTCATACTGGAAGGAGTAGCCCCCATCCGTGGTGGTGCGAACCCGCAGCGATTTTATGGTGCTCACCAGGGCTGCGCAGCACAGCTGGATGTTGGACTCAATGGTGTAGGTGTTCGAGCAGCTCCCGTAACAGTAGTGAAACTCAAAGCTGCTGGGGTGCACGATCCAGTGGTTCCAGTTCAGCTCTTCAAAGGTGATGTTGACGGAGGCCCGGTGGCAGTTGGCATGGGCTGTGGCATCATCCGAGGGCCTCTGCAGCAGGTTGAGGGCAGCGGACGGCCTCAGCACCAAGGAGCGTGGGGCCCGGTCACGGCTCTTGGTTTTGGTGGCTGCCACAAGGAAGGGCATCTTTGCAGCATCTGCCATGCAAGGGCAGCCAGGACAGCGGACTAACAGTACAAATATCTTCTGGGCAAAATAAGGTAAGAAGGAGTTGCCAAAGTGGAAGACTGTCCAGGTTTCTGAGGCCGGCACTGCCGTGGTGGCCACTGGGACCTGGCCTTCTTCGGAGAGCTTCAGGACCTCAGCCCCTGGCGTGGAGCTGTGGGGTGCTTCTCCCGAGAGATTGCTGCTCTGCACTTTCACGGGGCCTGTGTAGAACCACAGCTGGGCTGAGGTCACCACGCGGCTCAAGGCGTGAGGGGAGGGCTGGAAGAAGTAGGTGAAAACTCCCGAGTCCCCCAGGAGCTCGTCTGACTCAGGTGGCTCACACGGTACATCTGCAAAGGGGGAGAAAGGGGCCAGAGGTGGCTCAGCTCATGGAGATCTGCCTTTTGAGATTTTAAAATGCTGAAATCTGTCTGCTGGGTGAACAGACAGCTTATCTTTTGCCCTGCACCCCCCAGTCCCAGCTTCAAGTTTATTCCTGCTACTTCTGGATAAGAACATAAGAGATGCCAATGTTGGATCAGGCCAAAGGCCCATCCAATCCAACACTCTGTATCACACAGTGGCCTGAAATACCAGTGCCATCAGGAGGTCCACCAGTGGGGCCAGGACATTAGAAGCCCTCCCACTGTTGACCCCCCCAAGCACCAAGATGACAGAGCATCACTTGCCCCAGAGTCCCTTTCTATACCTTGTGGCTAATAGCCACTGATGGACCTCTGCTCCATATGCTTATCTAATTCCCTTTTGAAGCCGTCCATGCTTGTAGCCACCACCACTTCCTGTGGCAGTGAATTCCAAGTGTTAATCTCTCTTTGGGTGAAGAAGTACTTCCTCTTATCCGTTCTAACCCGACCGCTCAGCAATTTCATGGAGTGCCCACGAGTTCTTTTATTGTGAGAAAGGGAGAAAAGTACCCCTCAGTCGTCGTTTCTCCAAGCTAAAGAGCCCCAAGTGCCTTAACCTTTCCTCATAGGGACAGTGTTCCAACCCTTTTATCATTTGAGTTCCCCTTTTCTGCACTTTTTCCAAAGCTATAATATCCTTTTTAAGGTGTGGTGACCAGAATTGCACACAATAAGGCAACAATCTTGTCAAACTGGACATCTGTGATGTAGCTTGGTGCTGGGTGCATCTCTTCATTGTCATTTTAATCATTAAAGACCTTTGAATCCAGTGTTTGGCCACAACACAAACACAATTATAGTCACGTGAAAGAACAACAAAATAGGCAAATAATTGTGTGTAGAATAGGCAAACAAAATAGTTATGGGATGCCTCTGTAGCGGTCTGTTTTGTGGCTGGCCTGGATTCCTTTACCTATCTTAGACCTTTTCCACACAGGCTACATTCCCCACATTTGATGCTTTTGGCAAGCGAGTTCTCCCCCCCCCCCCACTCCCCCACAGCATCAGGGTGTATTCATACCCCTCCTAAGGTTTCCCTGGCTTTTCTACAATCTTTTTCCAAATCTGCTTTGTTGAGAAGTTTAGAGAAAGATGGAAGCAAAGCCTGGACGGCTGCCACGTGGACAGGAAAGTTTGAATTTTCCAGTCCTACCCACACAGCAGCCATTTTCCTGGCCCATGTCCACATGGCCCATTTTCCTGGCCCATGTCTTGGCCACCGCCCCCCCCCCCTACTGGCTCTTTTGTTTTATTAATTGGCAATTGAATGTTGTTGTATCATCACAACATTACAACAATGTGTCTGCCAGGGGAAGTCAGCTCTGGACCACTGTTTGGTCCTCGCTCATTCGATCAATAAGTACATAAGAAGGAAAAGGTCCAAACTGTATAGTGCCTTTTTGGACCTTAAAGGGGCTTTTGATTCTGCTTCAAGGGAACTTTTCTGGGTAAAGCTCGAGGGGATGTCTTTAGATGTTATTATTTCTTGTTAAAAGACTCCATACCTCCACGTCCTGTCAGGTCAGGTGTTCTTCGTCTGGGAGACTTTCCCCCAAGATCTGTGTTAGGAAAGGGGTAAAAGCAGGGGTGCATTTTAGCCCCCCATCTGTTTAACCTTTTTGTAATTAACCTTGCCTCTTTTATATCATCAGTTGGTGGCCATAGCCCTGGACTTGGCTCTACTCTTATTCCCTTGTTGTGATATGCAGATGACACGGTTCTTTTGTCTACTTCTCCTGTTGGACTAAACCGCTTACTGAACCATTGCCATGATTATTGCGTGATTAACAGGTTGGAGCTGAATTATGAAAAATCAAAGGTATTAGTCGTTCCCTATTCCTGAAAATCATATAAGTGGATTATTAATGGCAACAAACTGTTTTACTATGCTGTTACTCTGTTTGTTTATTCTGCAACTCTAATTTTACTTTGCATGGATTTTGATTATTGTCTCTTACGTGTATATGCCAATAAAGGCTTGTCTGTCATAACAATGTGTCTTTTAGGTTCTCTGAATTCCCAGCTTTCATTTTTTAAAGTAACTGTCCAGGCCCTTTTCTTATGGAGATACACCTTCTCCCTCATATCTTCATAACGAAAGAGATGACAAGACATTTTTTTTAAATGAAAACTGGGAAATCAGAAAATCCAATAAACATATTGTTATAATGCCATAACAATATCAATGTCTAATTAAAAAGCCAGTTTGGTGTAGTGGGAACCGGGTTTGAGTCCCCCCTCCTCCACTTGCACCTGCTGATGTGACCTTGGGTCAGTCACAAGCTCTGGCACAGCTGTCCTTGAAAAAGAGCAGTTTGTGTCAGAGTTCTCTCAGCCCCACCCACCTCACAGGGTGCCTGTTGTGGGGAGGGGAAGGGGAAGGAGTTTGTAAGCCGCTCTGAGACACCTTTGGGTAGTGAAGGGCGGGGTATATATCCAATCTCTTCTCTTCTTCTTCTAAAAAACAAATGGAAAAAGCTATGAGGGGTGGGGTGGTCACTGCCAGGGGACAGGGAAATTGTGGGGGAGCCTGAGAAGTGGAAGCCCCATTGCCAACGCAGTGCAGGGGGGAAACCACACAGGTCTGTCCCCACTACCTCAGAGAATGTCATCAAATAATCTTGCTCCTCCAGGTGACTTTTGAAAGCCAACTGGCTTCCTCCACCCATCTGTGGAGATGCCTACAATCCTGTGTTCTGCCTGCCTGGCTACATTCTGGGAAATGTCAGAGGTGCATATATTTATATAAGCATAGACAAGCACTTCATAATTGGGTTAGGTGTTGTTGTTGTTTAATTAGGTCCATTAACTTGGACTGGTGCAAGGGTAAACCAACACTGGACTGCTGTGTCACATGAGGCCTGCATGTTTTTACCCCAGCGGAAGTTGCTGGGTCCAATAAAAGATACTGCCGGACTTATTTTTGTTTCTCTTAACATGCCTCCATATTTACACTACAGTGCTTCAGAGGAGAGAGCCAAGCCATTTAAAAAGTATTATTTTTAAGAACTTGCTCCCTCAACAAAGTCATCTCTCCCTTTCACAGAATTTATCACATTGGTCCTGCATAATTTTTACCACATTACGACCCCCATGAGAACTCTGCCTCCCCAGCCTGGTAATTGTAATAGGCTTGGTTTTTATTCAGTTTTTCAAAAAAAGATCTTTAACAGTACAGTCCTGAATAGTTATATCCTTCGAAGCCTAGGGATTTAGAAGGGTATAACTGCATAGGATTGCACTGTTAGGCTGCAGTCCTAGGCATACTTATCTGGAAGTAAAGCTGCACTGGACAAAGTGGGACTCCTGAGCAATGTTCCCTCTAAGCTGTAGTGTCTTGTGAGCCAAAATTCAACTTTGTGAGCTACTGGCATTAAAGTTGTGAGCGAGCGACTTGGCTACTGCATGAATCAGTTTGCTCTGGAGCCCTCCTTCCTGGGCTAAGACAGAAATGTGTGAGCCAGAGGCTACAAAACTATGAGTTAGCTCACACCAACTCAGCTTAGAGGGAACACTGGAGTCCTGAGTAAACATGCACCAGCTCTGGCTGCCACCCCGTTGGAAGGCATGGCCCATCGAGGTCAAAAGGACCCTTGGATAAGCACAGACAGAATTGGGCTAAACATCGACAGGAAGGAGGACGTGTTCTGAAGGGATGATGGCACTCCCAGGGAAATCCCACAGACAAAGCAATGAACACCTACGGTTCAGAGAAATCAGCAATGGAACCCTTTGGAGTGGGGAGGTCTGTTATCAATGGGGTGCCTGACCTGTCAGGTGTGCTGCATTAGTAAAGCAGTCCTTGGTGTCTGCCCATTCC